TACCCTCATTTGGAGATTTTTCTCGCAATGCAGTTGCCGTCCGACAGCGAAAATGCCCAGATTTAACCCTTTCGTGTAAGCACAGGTTTCATTGACTTGGACAGTTGACATCCCAAGAATCTGAAGAATTGCACCATTAAAGCATACCGTCCATTCTTATATGCCATGTCCAAGCATAGATCACAGTCAGAAACAAATCAGAACGGGATGTAGGGAAGGTCAGCAGAACCTTCGCCAAGACTAAGAATTCTGTACATCTCGTAACTGGCCAGCAACGCCGTTCATTTTTAATTACTTCCTATATTATGCAGTCAGGTGATGACAGGATGACATCGACATTTATGAGTTCAATGCACGCGGTATTCCTTTCTGCGGCCGGGCCCATACCGCGATGGTCAAACGTTCCTCGAGAGTAATCTGGACCTTTAGGGCAAGTTGTGCGTTCTGTCTGGTCTCCAAGTGCCACGATCAATTTCAATTAGTTTCAGCTCGTATAGGACCTAGTTGGGACACCGGTGGCTCGGTGGAAGTAGTACGTGCGCACGTGCCGGGAAGAGAGACTTTCACGGGGGAAAATCGAAGGGATTACGGCATAGGCAGAGCCAGAGGGACCACAACCTCCGGCCATGCTCTTCATGAATGCGGGAGATTTTTGTCCCTCTTTTGCCGACGGAACCGAAGCGAGTCGCTGGCTTCAAGTCTCTCCCCCTCCGTTGTGCCGTAAACTTGCCTCGGTGGAGATGGCTCAAGTTGCAGGAAATTTCTTCTCTAGGTTTACACTTTGCCGCGGGACGACTGTAATAAATATTCGCAAAATAAACGGTCCCTTGCAGTGTTGAATATGTGCATGGCCCTCAAACATCGAGAAAATGATACGGTTTAAGTTTCAGGTTATCCAGGTAGTTTTAACAGGATTAGGCCAGGGATGTAATTCTTCTCTCGCGGACACGCATCCCGAGAATGTCTTAACCCAGCTGACAAATTCAACTTGAAATGACAAATTAAGCTCAGGTTTGTGATTTGAGCCCCGATCGAAGAGCTTTTATCAAACTGACATGTTGTCAGCGATAGACCAATGTCCGTAAAACACGTCCCATTCAGAGAGTCTATTTTTGACGTATCTTTCAAAAGAAGGTGCGAATTTCGAAATTTATGAACAAAACTGCATTTCCATTCTAGGGAGAATATCGCATCGACCTGCGTACACGCACACAAGAACCTGCCGGCATGCAGAGAGGGTATGATAGTGGCCGTTTCTTGGTGATTCACATTTCAGATATAACAATAGCCCAGTGAAAAAAACCCAATCCCAGGAACGTCCTCTCTAAGCAAATTTTGGGCCCGTTATTCTGTCCAGAAAAACATGGACAGTTTAAATATTTTTGAAAAATGCACTTTTAATACATCTCATTCAAAAAGGATCTCATTATTCAAATTAAACGAACAGTTTTCATGCATTGAAAAAAAAGCATGAGAAAAAATAAAGCGTCTAAGAAAAATGGATTGCATGGATCGCTTGAAGAAAATAGGCCCATTATAATGTTACCAAAAGTACGTAGGCATGTATAGTCGAGTGGAAGTCAACAAGCGGATCTAATAGATAAACTGAGGAATGTCGAGTGGCTTAGCTCTGATGATAAATTACGAGAAAGTTCTTTGATTTTTAAAATAATATAACAAAATGAATACTACACAAGGAATGACCACTCTAAACGACGCCGGCTGGCTCATACTAGATGCAAATGGCAAAAAAGAAAAAAAATTGAATGTGAAGTAAAACATATTTGCAGGCTTCTGCTTCTGTGAATTCGCGTGTTGCGTGAGTAATTGGCGATACACGTCAATGCACAAATTGGTTTTTGTCTATGCTTTAGTGATCAGGGTTAACCGACCCAGATACACACTGCCAGCGCCATTTTGAAAACCACATCCCTGATAAAAAGCCAAGGTTAAGGTGGAAGCTTGGAGCCCAGAGTGTAGTTCATCTTCAGTTACTTCTGCAATATGCCCCTGTCGGCAAGAGATATATTGCTCCTATTTTGGAAACATGCGTTTTAACAAATAATGTCTTGATCGATCGCCCGGAAGATACCTTACAACCTTCCATTAACTGTGGGCAATCCGCATCCTTAGTATTAAAGGAGTCGGGGCCGCTAATGTCTCTTGCCACTCCAAAGTCGTTGAGAGATAAACGAAGAGTATGGGATCTCCGTATGACACAAAAAGCACAGGTATAAACGAGTATTAGGCCTATTGCCCCTGGCACAATTGAAATTTACCCTCTGGCGTAATGATACTGGGGGCAGATTTTGTGGGCGCGGGCTTCATTATACTTTGCACTCACGCGAAAGTGGCATTCACTGTGCATGCGAACGATCCAGAAAATGGACAAGGCGATTCTACGTGGACTTTCTATTGGTAGAAGCGACTTGGCGCTCTACCATCTTTCTTATAACTGGGACCAACACATTATTAGTCCATCAAAGGTGTCTGGCCCTCTCCGTGCCGCCTCAGCCTCTCGACCTCAGCCTCTCGGATCGTAGTGAGGCTTTGCCGCTTGTAGAGGAAATCACATTACGGAACGGTTGACGATATTTTGGTTTTGATGGCATTCAAGCAATGGTGAACTGATCAGCCATTCACTGTTGTCCCTTTTTCGCAACGCCTAATCAAGCCCGGAGCGCTGCCGTGGGGGGGGGGTTGAAAACAATTTGATTGGTCGTTTATGCCAGGAATATCTGTGCCTCCATCACGCAAGGGGATTGAGAAACGAACAAACCAACTCGCCGTAGAGATGGTATCGCTGACGGCCTCGTATGCACCTCATGCACGAGACGAGCAAAGTCCTCTGTACGGCATGCTACAGGAATGTTCCTCGTTAACTCGCCTTTGATTGTGCTTATAATTATTACATTACGACGAATGCAGTGGGCTATAAAGGCCTTCATAGTCCGCTTGTGAAGAACGGCACTCCGCAATACGCTAGGAATATCGCCATTCATTACATCTGTCTCGATGACAACCGTTAAAGTGTTGTCGTGCAAAGAGCCACGTTTTGCAATATTCGCTATAAAATGTGAGTTTGAATTCTCTGATTAAAGGTATTAAGTGCGATGAGGACAAGTTTGTTCCTTATTTTGTACGAATTGATTCAAGCAGAAAATTAAGTAACATGACCAGAACAGATCTACATGTACATGTATGCATGCATAGTTTGGACAATTTACTGCTCCTACCCACGGCCACAAAGTGCCGTTCACGTACATGGATTGAAGAAAAAGATTTTGGTGTGCATGCAGCGCCGTACACGTTCCTTTTTTTGGACATTATTTTGAGTGCGTCGAGTGCTTTAATTTACGAGTGTTAACGACGACATCTGTATCTTGGACCGCTGTGATGCGGTTTCGGTGAAAGATCCTCTTCAGATATAGAAGTTTTTTTGCGTGGCCGTGTTGAGAGGATTCTTTCACCAAATCGGAATGTTGTTTGCGTTAAGATGTAGACTGTCGCAGCAAAACCCAAATAGATTTATCTCTGCAAGACTACGCTGACGAACTGTGATTTTCAAGAATATTGACAACAAAACGCAGCAGCAAGACTAAAAGCCACAACACGAATAAACATCAAAGGAGAACGTGTTTCATTTGTCTTCACTTGACGGAATCCCTCGGAGGGTGGAGTTTGTGACTGATGGCGTCCCAATTTGAACAACCAAAGCGAATAATATACCGTCATCAACAACAATAACGTCATTAACGGTTTTAACATCGATCCCCTCCATGTTGAATCGTCCGAGTATCAACTTGTCTCCAGAACTATGTAAAGTGAACATAGACCCCTTTTTTTCTCCGTCACATTTCCACTATCTGCCAATTCTGAAAAGCCTGGCAGATCTGTGTCAATATTTACGCGGTCCACTTAAGCGTCACGACCCCTCTCCATCTTCCGCAGCTGCTCAGAGCAAGGGGGCGGTGGAGATAAAGCGGGGAGACCTGTTCCTTAACACAAGCCTGTCTTACAAGTCGTTTCTTACAAAATGTCTGTTCAAATAGTTGGTCTGTGCGTCCCACTGTGGTACGGTTAAACGAGCAGCGTGAGGCACGGTTTAACGTTCAAAATGGAGACAATGAAATGAAATGAATGCATGGTGACCAACGTACTTGTACGCCGCATCCGAAGGTATACGCGTACTGGACTTCGTCCTGACTTTATATCCGTCTTGTCGTGGGTTCTAAAGAACATGCGTGGAGTGAATTATTCAGCAAGGCACCACTTAAATTTCTCTACAATCAGTTTTAAAATTATTCGAAAGTTCGAATCAGAAATGTTGCAATGGACACGCACACGTCCGTTTTTGGTCCAGAACGCGTTAAATATCATTCTAAATCCAAATCATACCACACATCAAGGATGAAAAAAGATATCTAGGAAGCTAGGTTTCCTCTCTCCATCGTTTTATATGACTTCTCAACGACGACAAAAGAAAACCTCGGTAAACAATAAAATATTACATGAGATGAATAATTAAACAAGGAAGATATTCCCATTATGTGGGGTAATCGTACGACTTCGCTGATGGCCAACAGGTTTAAACTTAAAGGACCATTCGTCCAGAAAATTAAGTAGTGGTATACAGCATACACCGTTCACTCAAATTACTTGTCAGCGCGTCTAATGCCCTGTATCGTATTATAGTGGCACGTAAGAACAAGAGGTGGACAATCAACATCTTCACTGATCAGTCTGCTTAAAAAGCCATTCTTCCCCAGATGCACCCAACTGCACAATGTAAGACGTGTTCCACTATAGAACCCGGGGCCACTAGCTCCACTGTAGCGGAGTGCATGCTCTCCCATATTCAGCGTCCTTCGAAATGAAATTGCCGGCGGAGATTTTGCATAACAAAAGACGCATCAATATCCCGCTGAACAATATGCGGAAAGCTTAAATTTAGAGAACGCATAGGCAAATGACGTCGACTAATCAAAGAGCACACTTACCTATTGCAATGTTGGAGCATGCCATAACTTCACCAGCCGCAGTCATAGTGATTGTTGCTTTAAAACACCGCACAATTAAAATTCCCCTTTTACGACGTCCGTTTTGAAGGCAGGGCGTGTTGTTGTTGTTTTTTTCTTCCACGCGAGTCAATCTGTGAAGTGGTTCCGTCAGGATTCGTTGGCCATCTCACCAAAAGACCATCGGCCCTATGCTTTTAGACTGGTAAACCCGCGCCCTGCACCGCTTGAATTTAATTCTCCCGTGGACCGCTCCGTTGCGGGTTGCGCGGCTCTGCCATATATATTTTTTTTCGCGGTGTTGTTTACAATGTTCCTGTTGGGCTCTCTGCACGTGCGACTTCGCCCGTGTGGTCGGCCCTCGCGCCGCGTGATGGTGTGTGCCCGATGTATGACAACGTACCGCCAGCTCCCGATGCTTAATGACGCTGCTGCCGCTACTGCTGGTGACGATGATGATGAAAGTGTTGGTGATGCGCTCTGTTTTGCGTTGTTCGGTCATTTAGACCGAACAGCTCATAAACCCCGCCGGAATCGGGTGTCTCTGCGAAGATTTAGAGCTTGCGGCGTGGCTCAGCACCGCGCGTGGTGTCGTTGGAGGGTATTGTGACGTCATCATCAAGCTTCCATGATTGGTATTCGAGGACACGATAAAGACATTTCGGAGACGATTCCCCCCGAATTGAAAACTGACCCCCTTAATTTGAAGTTTCGAATTCCGATTACATGTATATAAACTAACGAATGTTAACCCTAACAGTCCTCAATCCTCCACCTGTTGGAGGACTGAGGACGGTTAGGGTTAATGTATTTCGGGATCTAGGCCTAGGCTATATTTAAGGCCGGATCATACTTTATACGGAAGCAACAGTGGACGCAATTTGTGACATCGGATCAAACATTTGAGCTACGAATTTGTAAAAGTTGAACATACTGAAATTCGAACGAAATTTCGCTGCAAATGTTTTGTGACGTAAAATTCGCTTCGTTTTTGTATCCGCCTGAAGTATGAACCGACCTTTATGAAACCCCCTATTCGCCTACGATGGGAAGTGAACTTGTGTTAGTGTCAAAAAGGTGCAACGGTCACGTATTGTACTTGCAAATAAAACGATAAATATTAATCAATAATTTGCAAAACGATTAAAAACTTTGTAAAGTTACTATTTTTCCTATATCCCACCCTGAAATACGTTGATGGCATTCAAACTGCATCACAGAATTAATCTTAATGTAAAGTATAAACAAGGTTGGTCAAAACAATACAAAACAAACCAAACCAAACCCAACCCAAACAAACCCAAACCCAACCCAACCCAAAACATCTCGCACAATATATTACACATTATACATTATGCCCCCAGCCAGAAAGCATACCATCGGTTCACCATTTTTAGATGCGTGGCTTTTAATGTTAAGAATCCAGAGTTTCCTGCCAGTCCCACAACCGGCATTTTCTCCGTTGCCTTTGTCTTATGGAATTCAAGGCTGATCCAGAGAAGAGAATTCAATATACTCTGAAGTGTCCTCGCTACATGCAGAACATTAAGAATGAAACTCGAGAAAAAAAACGGGGCCGTGCTAAAAAAAATACCATTCAATAATTCTATTGAAGGTTAACGTCCAACCTGTCACGGTATTTTGGGATCCGGGGTACCGTAAAACTACTGCGAGGCGCGTGCCTGGAGATCCTCACAACCAGAGCTGCCGACTATGCAAAGTTCATAACACAGCACAGTAATTACATTACCCTTGCCTTGAAAATTCATCGTGACACTGGGCTCGGAATCACCTCAGAACAAATCTGTCACTTCATTTTTTTATAGGAATGTTGATCTAATTTCACCCTTTTTTTACAAATTTATTTGTGAGAGCCCACTTTTCCCTTCGTCTTGGATTTCTGTGGATGGGTAGGGCAAAAAGGTGAGACCATGGCAATGCGTCAACAGTTATTAAACAAAATGACCAACTGAGGCTTCAGTAATTATCTTTACATGATTTGCCACTTTATCATGAGGGTATGCTCTGGTGAAGCACTGTCATGCGTTGAGTAATGGTCTGCGTTTACAGGCACTGTGACTCATGACAGAGGCAATTGTGTGTGGAACAATCGGCTCTCAATCAACGAAACCAATTTCATGTGCACCGTAGATAATCATGACTAGCTCCGTCGCAGATCGGTTAATCCTAGCGCTGTCCACGTGCAACTTAATGCAGCCTTCATCCTCATAATGCGGGTATTAAATATCATTGACATTAAAATGTAATCACAGCATGACACGTGAGCCGGGGGAGGGTTGACGCCCCCTCGATCTGCACAACCTAAAATATTTGGCGGAATGCATAATGGTCTTGTTTGTTTCAGGTTTTCTACCAAAATTCGTGGTGGGGGCCAATTGTAACAATGTTGAAACATGGAAACATGCCCTTACGTTACGCCTGGTCTCACTTTAAAATGCAGTAGGTGAGTTTAATTGCTGCTGCCGAGTATCAAATTTGACAATGAGTTCAGCCAGTGACAGTTTCAATTATTCGAAAGCCGCTTAAATCGACAAGGCACAAGAGACAATTTTCTGTTAAGCTCCCAAAAGGCTGAACCATCGGTAACTTTTACCAAAGACATCAAATCATGAACGCACAACGAAGATGAATTTGGAAAAAAATCGAACATTTTTCGATCCCTCACGATAACGTAGTCAGCAGGGCACAGGCAGGGGTCGAGCGACCTCACTCCAGTACTAGTGCCGCCGCAATCGTACGGTACATGATAAATTGGAACCAGACTACGTGCATTTCAGTTGTGACTTTCCAACGACCACTCAGCAACGCTCGGCAAATTTCAGCGCACTGACGGAATTCGAAACCCGCCGTATGGGACGATGTTGTTTTCCCCCGGACTCCATGACGTTATCTCAAATCTGCAGGGCTTTCCCTACAGGTTCTCGACTAGCACCTTGATTAACTTAATTGAAGAACTGAGTTATTGATGCGCTTTGCCATTCCAAGAAAATGAATCGGCCGGCATGAGTGGATGCGGGGAAGTGCAACGAACGACGTGACATTTCCCTTGGTATTCTTGCCGCGGCCCGCTCTGCGGCACCACCGCTCGGGACGAAGTATTTACAGAGGAAGAAAACGAGGAAGAAAGCAAGACAGAATCCTTGGTGGAGGAGAGGGTAGGTGGATGCAGCGGGGCCCTGCACTCACCGATCCACATCCCAGAGAAAGGCAATGGCGTGTTTGATGTTTGAAGAATTTGACGAGAACGATTTTGGCGACTATCACATCCTTTCCTCCAGAAAGTGTTTGAAACTCCAGAAAGCCTATAAAGAAATCCTTAATAAATGTTGGCCCATAACAAAAGATTCCCCAAATTTCGTCCTGGACCTGCCCTTAGGCATAATGCATCGACGCTGGGCGAGGTTTAGTCGTGCAGTTTATAGCAAACCATCATAATTTGTAAGATCCATTAAGAACAAGGATAAACATAATGCAGCAAGAAAGTTGAGTCCATTGTTTTGCTCATCTCCTCGACACCCGATAGCTGTAGGCGCTCCTGCACGAGGTCACGAACCCACTGCTCAGCCGGCTCGAAGGGTTCTCAATTATTTTCCTCCCAGAAATAAAAATATAATGATCCCGTGCGGCCAGGCCTGATGGCGCTAGGGTGAGAGGAAATGGTTGATGTTGATCATAATTACTTCGATGTGCATGGATAGAGTTACTGGGAAAACCATCAAAGGAACGCTGTCCACAGAGACGAGGTTTATTTTCCATCGTTCCGTCTGACGGTAAGCGATTTTCACCGCCATCAATTTTTTGTGCATAATAATAAAAATCACTCCCTTGGGGATACAAGTTGTTAGACTGATAAAATATTTGCTTACCCTTACGTAAAACATAAATCTGTCGTTACTGTTCGGCCTGATTTGAACGAGATTTGTGTTCCTAGAAACTTTAACTACTAGACTCTTCTTTCCTTTGAATTCACACCACTTAAAATTCTGCTGGTATGTCAGTCTTTGGGTTTAAGTGTACTGTTTGTAAAGAATATTTTAATTGGAGGGATATTAGGGTATAAGCCAATAAAGATAACGAGAAGACCAGGAATACCATAGATCTTCTCAAACTGAGGAATTTATGGCAATAGATGGGATAAGCATTGCGTTGAGTCGATTTATTCATGGCTTATTTATTCAGATGACATTTTAATTTACCCATCGTGAATTCTGGAATTGACTGCGCGAATTATAAACAGTATATAGGGATTCCAATAATTTGCATTTTGTGATTGGACGTGCATTTAAACACTAAATCAGCATAATCCAATCAATCTTCGTGAATTTAAAGCAGGTAAAAAAAACCCCAGAACATAAATGTGACATATCTTGTTGGCATACAAGGTTCAGCGTGGGGGTAGTGGTCCAATAGAGCCAGGTTTTGGGGGAGTGGTTCAAATCACAATTTTAGAGGAGTTTAACACATTTTGTCACAGTGTAAAGTCGAGTCCTAATTTTCTATACCTATAAAGCGCGTCAATTGCCGCCAGCACTGCCTATGGGCCCGAGCTGGGCAAGGAAAAGGCGCGATTTTCCTAGCAACGGAGGCTCCTTTGGTGGGAACTTCCATTCGCGTCGCAACCAACAGAACGAACACCTCCGACTAGCATGGCTCTTTTCAACCCATGTGGGGGTGCTTCCGGTTAAGGTGGATAGGCACATCTTTTCCAACTCTACATTGGGACCTGACCTCTGACAATCCAAGATATTTTTCTGATCTCTGGATTTCGAGCTACACGCAAGGCAAGCATTCTTTAAAAACGGACACCGCCGAACAGTCGGTATACCTCACTCCATCCGGGTACGGCGGAAGAAGAAGTGCCGGACGCCCGGCGAATTTTACGCTTTAGTGAGCTCGTTGGCCGTACCATCAACTCTGTTTTGCAGGGCAGATCTCTCGTTTCCCCCGCTACCTCTGGCCTAAGGGTATACCGGCATTGGCTCACTAATTAGCCCCACCAGCTTGAGACGAATTTAGCGGATCTTCGGCCAGGCCGGTTCGGATCATATTTGCTCCGATAAACTCACTAATCCATTTACAAGAAGCACCCGAAGTCAGATTTTGGCCACAGATTAAAGGCTGGAAAGGTTAATAAAACCGCAAAAAGGTCGACTCCTGATTCCCGATTTTGAATAAACACGGAGGTGTTCCAAGGTACTTTCTGTGGAAATTACAGTTGGAAATAGACGACAATCTACGAATAAACAAAGAGCATTTATATTTTGGGCTGCGGCGGTGACAGGGTACGATCAACGAAAGGAGACACAGAACAGTCCTGCAACTTTCAGAATTCTCGATTGGTGTTTGAAACCATGGGGGTGCATTCGTATCACCGAGGGGCAGGGGGGCAATGGGCACTACCCCTCCGCCAAAAACTTTGAAAAAAAAAAGGAGTAAAGGAAAAAGGAAAAAGTATAAAAATGATAAAGAACCTTGAAATTGATCAACTTTCATCGTTGACGGTTGATCAATATGCTGCTGAGGGTTTTGTGTCGACCCCGCATGTAGATGGGTTTATCCGGCCTGAGCAGGAGCCCCATTCAATTGATTGAACAAAGCCACGTTAGTCGGGAGTGCTCATTTTGTTTGCAGTGATGCGACTGAAACGCTTCCGTTCCATAGCCGTTCGTGAACCAGTGATGCGCAGTTACCACCAGGCTCCCTCCATTGCCAGGAAAATTGCGCCCTCTCTTGGTCCAGCTAGGAGCCCATTGCGACAGACAAATTATTACTGACCTGCAACCTCCGTATGGGAAGCCACAGAAACAAAAATGATCTTGTAAAAACAAGGGGATGGGACTTATTTTGATGAAGAACTGACAAAATGGAACTTGGATCGGCGCAGAAGCACCGTTAGAGGGGGTTGTTGCGGGTGCCTCACACAAATAGTCAGTTTTTGTCGGCAAAAGCAAGGTGCTTACGACTAGAATGGAGGAGGAAGGGAACAGGAAGAGGGGAAGGGCATCTAAGTATCAGGTCGGGGAATCAGACTATCATTGCACTCATAAAATGTGCTGATGGGCTTTCGCAGTGGAGCCCCAACCCCATTTAAAATGATCAAGTGACGACCCCCCTTTAAAAATGATCTAACGAAGCCAGCCCGTGGCAACGGCTGAAGGTGGGTGACGTAACGAGCACGGCAAATTTCCGTCTTGTCAATTCCAACGGTCAGTGCACTAGCCCTTAACGACAGCATCATCATCAGTCTCCATTCCAAATAAACTGTTAATCTGTTGCCAATAATGTGCTCGATATTCGTCTTCCTCGAATTTCACGGCTCGACAGTTTCCTCTGCTTCCGGCCTTGGTTCTACCTGTTGAGAATTTCGCACGTTAATGCGGGTGTATTGCTTCTGTGGAGAGTCCGAAGAAAAAATTGTTGGGGGGGGGATCAGTGTTTAAAGGGCACCTCTTCGAAACAAAATGAATTTGTAATTTGTTTAGTTAAGATAAGTTTATTCACAGCGGAGGAATACAATATTGTAGACTGAAACAACTGTAGTTGTGATTTAGCGAAAAAATACCGATCTCTCATACACAGCAACAAGAAATGGGTATAACTGATGTACTTCGTGAATTACTGAGTGACTGTTCATGGAATCAATGACGTCAATAGTCAAGTGTAAAAGCTAGCTAGAGAAATGATATCCTATAATCCTATAATGCAGACGATAATGAAGATGCCAAGGACTTGGCTCTTGCCAAGGAGTTTCAGGCAGAGACCCCATTAAATCATACCGTGAGTCAACCACCTTTTTCTCCCGAAGGACACGCTTTAAAGGGGAATTCGGAAATGTTATTTCTGTGGGGTCACTCTGATGCCAGTGAGTGCTGGTGACAGCCAACAGCACTAACAAAACTGGGGGGGGGAGGGGCAAGAGGTGGGGTTAGGAGGGAGTCTAAACATCAAACAAAGAATTGTGTAGAAGATTCTGTCAGGGCTACAGTCCAACCTTGCTCCTAAGAACACTAAAACAACATTCTGCTTATAACATGGATATTTTTAGGTCCCAGGCCTTTGTTCTTCATTGTTTTCATTTCTGATAATTACAAGGTTCCTGTTGTAACGAGGTAATCTGCAAAGACTGAGGGACCTCTTATTAATGAGGTTCCTCTGGAGTTTCTAAGTTGAAATTAAAATGAAGAAAAACAGTGGACATTTGAATATGAAAAAAGCCATTTTTGGAGATGACTACACTAGTTGCCCATCGTGGCACGTTGCCTTTTGGCATCATTTTACAACAACTGATCGCATTCAGCCCAACGAAACAGTTTTCCAGGCAGCATCACAGATGCGCTCCCATGAAGCAAACCAGTTAGTTCACTGTTCAAACCCAAATGAGCTATTCTATGCTGCTCTTTTACAATACCCAAATGAGTTTCACTACATTTTCCAGCTGAACAGCTACATGCAATTTGGCCAGAATGTGTAATAACCAGTGACATAATTTTAGGGCCAGCCAAAAATAAGCCAAAATTAATTTCTGAAATGTTTATAGAAATGTGAAAGATAATTAAAAAAGTATGCAAGAAGAATTGAGCCTATTTATATTTACTTGAAAAGCACAGCGTGGTAATCTGCTTTGTAGAAGAGCCATACATGAAACAGGCATCTGGCAAGTCATGAAAATGACAGCAGATGAAGGAAATCTCTGTGGCTTCTTGATGTACTCATTTTCCGGCATTTTTGCCTGCGTTTGCTCGCAAGACTGCACCTGGGTTGGGATACGGCCGCATCTGGAACAAGGGACCATTGGCTGTGGTGTCCACTCCTGTCTTGGCTTCATTTGACTTGGGAAGGCCAGCTGACCAGTTACCCCTGAAACCAAAAAAAAAGGACATTCTATTCGACCTGAAAAAATGGAAAGTGTTTCTAGTTTCTTCTTGTGTTGGCTTCAATGTCCAAAAAATGACGCTAGATACATCCCCAAATTCTTAACAATCCTTCACTGCTGATGGAACACACAGGGAACACTCAATTAGACCTACTCTAAAGAGTAACTAGTTTCTCATTTTGAAACACAGTGGTTTCAATCTGTACTGCTGTTTGACAAATCTCAGTTGCAACTGGTTATGGGTGTGACGATCTGATGTCAGTATGGTCTGTGCGTATGTGAAAGCACAAAGATCGGTAGTCAATTTACCAACTTTAAGAGAAATGCAAATGGAAGATCAAGTGCAGAATTCAAACTCTGCAGGAGAAATAAAGAGGAAAAATGCTTCATATCTGCAACTGAAACATTTGCAGAATATCAAAATGTGTTTCCAATGCAATAATAAAGGTGACTCGTGACTTGCGTTTAACCTTTGTGACTCGTACTCAAACGAGATGACTCGGGACGTGGACTCGAGAGATGTGACTCAAACTTGGACTCAGACTCAATGCTTTGTGACTCAAATAGAAGTCTGCACCATGTCAACCTTTTCCCACAATGCAGTGCATGATTCCCTTGGTTTGAATCCTCTAATGATGGTTCAGTGGGATTGTAAATTACTCCTATCGAATCTGATACATTTTTTTTTAATTTAAAGCCCCAAGGACCTCACGAAACCCAATCACAACTTTTGGTGGAGTTCAAACGTTTGAGGAAAGTAGATCCTGGCTAGTGTTACTAGATGCCCTTTGAAATGTGCTGTGTCTAAAGTGCCTGTGTAGCAGAGGATTCAGAAAAACTTGTAGCCAAAAATTGCCAGGAGTAAATACTCTATGATCCTACCTTGGTGCATCAGAATATGCGCTAGGATCCATGGGATCCAACTCGTCATCTTTTTTACTTCGGTGTCGCTGCGATTCTAAGAAATCAAGAGGAAAAAAGGAAAGGCTACATTAGGGAAGTTGCTGAGTAAACATTGAAATTTGGAAAGGGTGTATTCAATCAGTTGAAGTCTATTTATTCCCCTGTGAACCTAGCAGACTTATCTTTGAGCAGGCGTAGTAGTCTTATTAAGCACCGAAACAGGGATTGTAACATGATAGGCCGCGTCACCTGTTGCCCTGTAAATCCTGTCAACAAACTGTGAAACCACCAGCAACACCTCATTTATTCATTCATTTCACCGACAATTGGTTTTTGAAATCTCGTAAAGAGTGTGCTTTTGACTGGTCAGTGGTTAATGTTGCCATTTTGTACACCACTTTAGTCACCCTTTCAGCAGTAACAGAACACAAACCAATCAATTATTCTCCCCTTCAAACATGCCCATTTTCCATTTCAGAGGATCCCAAAGACAATTTCACAGATTAAGCAGCACAAAAAAATAGTCTTTCCAATTTTTTTTGCAGCGTGCCCTGCAATGGAAACCAACTGAACGTGCTGTACCAGTTTTTTTAGTCACATGAATTGCTGCATTTAACATACAAACAACATCCAAAATTGCACATTTGCACTTGGAATTGATGACTCACATGTATGTGAAAACGCTTTGGGTATCTTTTGTACACACAATGCAAATTTACTTAAGTAGGTAAGTGGGGGGGGTTTCAAAAGAGCATACTCAAAAAGGACCTTTCCCAATAAATATGCAAATCAGGCAGGTGCATGCGTATTAATACCACTGGTTGGCAAAGTTGCTTAAATGTATGACGTAACAATACAAATCTCCACGCGTGCAATTCTTAGCCCATACACGCTGTTTCTGTACTAGCAGTTTAATAGGACTGCTAAACTTAAGCACTTCCTGCCGGGGACTCCCGAATCGGAGACGTATGGTTTATTTGCGTGGCCGGGGTCTCCGAACTCAGACAAAGGAAACAGGGCCCTGTAACAAAAGACCGTACTCCGAACAAAAGACCAGGCTGCTGGGCATTACCGACATTTTTCACTCTCAAAAGTGGTGATAATCCAGCCTTGTTTTGAAACCAGATACCAGGGTTTGGGGCATTGAGAGCTAGCAGATTACCACCGGGGACAAAAGCACTCCACCACTGCAGCAATGAGCCACACAGCACTGCTGCACGCTAATCTGGCCCCTATTGAAAAGAGGCCAGCAGTGCACTGAGCCAGGTTTATGAACAAAAGACAGTTATACAACACTGCACAATCTGGGCTCTGTGTACAAGGCTGCAGGCCTGGCTGAAATACTCGGGCGTCAATGAAGGTCACCTGTCGACTTAGAGTAGCGCCTAAAGATTACTTTGTGCGGCTATAAACGACCGTTAAATGAAATGATAAATTTTTGAAGGATTTTGAAAATGGAAAAAATGATAGTCATGCCGGCCCAGCATCATCAACATTGAAAAATGCCCCGGCACGAAGTGGTTAAAGACATGGAACTGTTCCTTGCCAACCTCAGGACACTGAAAACTTCACTTAGTTTTGAAAAAAGCGAGCTGAAGTATCCAAAAAAGGCTGTGACATGGTTTCGATTGACCTTCAACACACCAGGTTATGGTTACAGCAGGTCTCCACTCTGCCGACAGCGTTGACGGCCCCACTTGCCAACCAGTGGCAGTGCATGCGCCCGTCTAATTTGCATATTTCATGGGAGTGGTCCATTGAAGCACACCGTAGGTCATTCAAGAACATTGACAAATGTGCGGGGGGGGGGGGGCGTGACCTTACCAGCATGGCTGTATAAACGCCTGGTCACATGCACTGAACATGCTTGAATTAGCATGGCCTCAGGTGCATTCTTCTCCAATGACCTTGCTGTTCTGGAATATTAAACTGGCTCTTTCTGGTTCTTTTTGTCAGTTCCTCTGCTACCGTGGAACTCACAGGTCATACAAGCTGGTCTTGTTTGCCATCTCTTATTTCAAAAAAAGCAACGTGCAACACAGTTTTTACAGAGCATTGATTCTCGATGGTCTAACATGGCATGACCACAGATATCACGCGACCATGGGTGAGAACATGCCTGCAGACCAGACTTTCTAACTTGATCCGAGTTTGAACAAATAAGATGACATTGCCCGTCACCACATCTCATTAATTATACGCCATCCAAGAAACTCCAGACAATTCCAATTTGTTCCGTAGTCATTGCCGCGCTTGACTTTTTTTTCCGATGCGACTTACCTCTGTCTTCTCGATGTGACTTCTGATACGGTGAGGGTCTCTCTGCCTGTCGTCGGGGCTCGGATCCTGGCCGCATTGGTCCAATTGTGCCGACCTGAAAAAATCAGTTAAATTACACGGTTAGACAACCACAATGGAGTTTTCACAGCATGCATCGCAGGCCTTGCTGTCTGCAAATGGTTAAATACAAACAGCTGGTTAGGAAGATGCAGCTGTGTTCTCCTTACATTGGCACCACCGTGACCTCGTGTCAATTTCAATCTTTACCATTGCCCAAGAATAATTTTTTACATAAAAGTTTGACGGTAAACAAGAGATAGTGGTGCACAATGGCCCCTAGGAAGCGCAGCAACCAGCGTAGACAAGTCCACTTGAGTCTCTAACTTGAGAAAAAAAACACACTTGTGTGAGTTGTATCTTGTCTCACCATGGGTCTCTCGTGCCGGATTTCGTTCGCACTCCTTACTTCAGTGCCGGGCGGCAGGGGCTGTGACTGTGTCTTGGTCTTGTGGTCCTGGGCTTCATTCAGTTGGACTGCCGGCAGGGTGACCTGAGCCTTGGGATCTGGATGTTGTCCATAAGGAGGGGATGTGTTGGTTTTCATCAATGACATACAAAAACGGGTAAGTTCAACCTGAACTGGTAAGCTACAAGACAAAGGTTTTTCTACATAATGCTGTTGAATGGAAGGCGTAAAATTGGCTGCACATTGGTAAAATTCCGTTGTGCAAAGACCTGCTACAACGCAAAAAAAATCAAGTCTTCACTCGGAGCACTTCTACCATGTGTAATTTGTAAAGTTCTGAGAGTGAAAGAGGTCTGGCAAGTGTCTCTATACTTACCACTAGGGGGCAGCCACGACACTAAATCTTTTTCTGCGTCCCAGTAATAGTGATACCCACTGTGTGAAAAATGACGACAGAGCAGTAAGTGATAGAGTGGCCACTACAATCAATTGGTTGGACAAGTCGCCAGACAAGGGAGCCTTGAAAAACCATTCACCGATGACTAGCCGGCATAGCCCGGGTGCCTGAAATCGGATAAAGGAGCCGGGCCTTGTAACAAAAGACCGTACTCGGAACAAAAGACCGAGCTGCTGGGCATTGCCGTCATTTTTCGGCTGGTATAAGTGGAGGTAATCCGTCATTGTTTTGAAACAGAATACCACTGATTATGGCATTTCGCGCCCGCGGATTAGCAGCGGGGACAAATGTGCTCCTCCAGCACTCCAGCAACGGGTGATACAGTACCGCTGCATGCTAATCTGGCTGCGTTTGAAAAGACACCACTTCCATTCAGCAATGTACTTTGCCCATTTCGGGAACAAAGGAAATTACGCAACACCACACAATCTGAGCTCCCTTTACTGGGCTGCAAGCCTGGCTGCAATACTCAGGCATCAATGGAGGTTACCTGTCAGATTACAGTAGCTACCATTTACACGTTTAGACAAAAAAGTTCCAAATTTGTTCACAGATTTTCCCAAATGTTTAAACGGAACCGCCCCTTTTAGAGATTTGATGTTTTTGATTGATGCAATCTGGTGTTCATTTCGATTGTAAACGATGCTTGTTACAGAAAAATAGCTTTTTTTAACCCCTTGACGACGGGAATTTTTTTCTGAAAGCCGACTCCAAGAATTCCAGCTTTGCTTGGCCATGAAGGCCACCTGCCAAACCGTAAATTCTCGGTTTGTGGCCCTGCATGTGCTGCACGCTTTGAATTACACAGAGAAAAGGTTCATTGTTCGGTGGCATGCGGCTCTACTCACGCTTCCACATTCCCCTTGCCCCTTTTCAAAGTGGGGACCATTGTGAAGCTGGTGATTTATGATGCAAATTCGGCCTTTCATTTTTTGGCAACACACAGAGGCCAATCACCATATATACAAGAGCCAGGGTCTGCCTTATTTCACCGTGTTCGCTCGAGCGTGGGCCGAGAATAATAGCTGAAAAGCGGGCTGAGGGATCTCAATTTTTACAGTGGCTCTTACTGTCTCCCGGCTTGAAGGGGTTAATGCCCCAACATCAATCCACATGTTTACACTGTTCGGATCATGTGCATCGTTGAACTATATAATTAGTTAGGCATATATAAAAACACTGAGGTAGGTGGCGATGACCTCAGTAAAGTGCTGGCTAAACATTTAAACGGTACGGGAAAGTTTTTAGAACATTTTTTAACTTAAACACTATAATTTGGGATTGAAGGATTTCTTTAATGTCGGTCTTGCACATGAAAGGACAGAACAATCAGGATTGCCTTTCAAACACTACTCTATTTCACCAAATGTCACAACTAAATCTTGGTGGCACTAGGAACACAGCGTTTCCCGAATATGACTCCTCCGAAGAGAAGGCTAGCCTGGCACTTGCCTGACATGATCCTTGACTTTAAACCAGCCTGGGGGGAGGCTCTCTCCGGCTGCTGGGGCCACCACTGCATCCTCACCAGCAGACGCTTTCTGCTGTGACGGCATGTCTTCCGTGGAGTAATCCTGCGCTATGATTTCCTCATGAGGATCTGCAACACAAAAGTGTCCAAAACAGCGACTTTTTGTCTCAGAAAAGTGGTACAGAAAGTTGTGGGGAACCCTTCTCCTCATGGACCTTTCAGCGAATCATACTACATGTACAAAAATAACTCACAACTAGAAATGTCAAAAAGTTTTTTTAAAAATTAATTCCTCATTACGTTTTCAATTACATTTAAGGCTAATCATAAGCCTTTTTGGGAGGCTTATTTTCATGTGAAGTTTCCTGAACAGTGACAAACAAGCAAACCGTTTGTCTTGAGATCCTCAAATGGAATTTGTACAATGCACGCTATCTTACAGTTAATCTTATGAAATGTTTGAAATACTATACAGGTTATTCAACATTTGGTTCAAGATGTTTTTGGTTGTGCTGTTGTGCATTCCAGAAGACAAACTGTGATTTCCAAAGTGGCTGATGACTAATCATGTAAGAAAATGCACCCAAATTATCAACACATAGATTCGATTGATCGAGCAACCAAATAACATGGATTGAGGTGTGGAGTTATTTGTGGCAGAAAATTGTGATGTTTCAAATTGGCAAGATACTGTGGCTACGGCTCACAACCAAGACGGGCATCGCAAATGAGGACTGTGGTGTCATTTTCACAAGATCTGTGTGACATTTGTCACTGTCATGCTGTTGTTTCTACAATCCCAGGAAATGCTGCAGTGGTGATAATGACAGGGGCGTGTTTTGGCGACCCCTAACAATAAACATGTTTTTGATGTCAAAGCAATAACCAGAAACATGTTAAGGGTGGCCCACAAAAACAAAGAACCAGAAACGGTTGTATCATCTGAGAGAGGCAAGCGCGAGGAAGCAGACGACACTGTTGCCGAACATCCTTTTCACTCAATGTTTGGCATGTTTCTAGTCAGTGCTTGCTCTGTCTTTTTACATGTGTTCTAAAAAAAAAGTATCTCTTTGATTTGCAACATGTAACAACAAATTTTGAAATATAAATGTAGTTATTTGAGGGGCGACATGAACTGCCTGTTTATTTTCCACCATTTTGAACCGGCACTGAACTGACTCCAAAATTTGGTTCTCGTTTGGTCAGAATGATGACATCAAGGAGGCATAATCGACATGGCCCAAAAATATTTAACCAATGACCAGAGCTGAAACATGTTCTTGGTTCGGGTTGTCAAAACATGCCCCAAGCCATCAACTAAGGGCCACTCGCATAACAGTGTGATACAAAGTTTTGTAATAACATAGATGCACAGGGTACCACACTAGCCTCCACAGACTCATATGATGCAAGATATGGGGCGGAGAGAACCCCCCGCCTTTGTGTTGGTCATTGTTTGATTGGAATCTCAGGAATTCTTTACAGACTTCTAGGGGGATGTGTTAGGTAACAACAGTCTAGAGTGTGTATAGGGATTGGATGTGGGGGGGGTACCCATCGGCCCCATATCGTGCACGGTATCCACAGACTAGTCAGAGCCTCTGTGTGTGTATGAACAAAACCAATGGGGTTGGAAACCAGTGAGGTGTGAGGGCATTGTACAGGTCACCTACTATTACCAACACTGCCAGATCATGTGTCATTTTCATGGAAGACCGTTACAAGTTTACAAGCCCTTTGCGTGAAGTGGCAAGATGTGCATCTGAATTGAGCATAACTTACCACAAAATGAATAAACCAAACAATGTTCACTTTGCTACTTATAGGTAACCGCTCTGGCCAGAAGTAGAACAAGTTTATCGTTTGGCGTGAGGATAGCTTTAGGGATAGACAGGATGGGGAGTACCTTGTGGGGAAGTGCCGTCTTGTAGAATCCCTCGTTTTCTCAGCCGAGCTGCCAAGGCTGCAGGGAGAGGCATCTTGATGAGTTGGTGTGTCTGGGACAACCCTGAAATATAGAAAGAACAACGGCAGTAGTACGAATGCCACTGTAAAAAAATCTTTACAAATTTAAAAAGAGTACAACGCCCCAGTTACTGAGTCTATTTATTCATGTGATGAAAGAAATTACTCCTCATCAGAGCATACTTGGGCATGATCCATTGATTACCAAGATTGCATTGTACTATCAGTCGATCCTGTGTGAAATCTCAGACTCTCACTCCCGAGAGTCCGTGCCACGCTAGTGGGGCTAGGCGAACGTCCAGCCCCACAGTTCTGGGGGTACCACTTGGATCATGCACCCGACCAAGAGTAAAAAAGAGAAACAGTACTATACATGTACATGAACCCTCAACATGCTCAAATGCAATCTCTAGTACCCTAGGCTTTATAAATCGTCTTTTTAACAACAGGACATGGGTCGGGCGAAAGTTTGAAACGGTGATTTTACAGTCAAAGTTACTCGGACTAGGCCCTATCTATCATGCGAAGACATGAACCATGATGACATGAAAAAGGAACGACAATCTAAACAAACTTAAACACGACTGTACTCCATCATGAAAACTCTAGCAATACAGAAAAACAACAAGTGTCGATTCCAACCAAAATACACACGTAATCTAGGCCTAGGGACAAAAAATCCAACAATATATACCACCTACCCGTCTGCGTCTACGTCTACCTCTAACTGCTGTGTGATGATGATGTCTTGCAACTCGTGTTCACTAGTACCGCAGCTGAATTCGTAACTCACAGGTCGTATCCACATTAGTTTATAAGGAACCAGTCTAGTTCTACAAAAGGTGCCACAATCCCGGTCCAAGCGCGCATTTGCAATCGAACAAGATAGCGAGTGGCTCGCACGGTAACAGGCAGAGCGCGACATGAAGCTCAAACATGCGAGAGAAACGCCAAAATATACATATTTCGAGTCCTTGCAGGTCAAAAAAGATGCTAGCGTGCTACTGGAGATCTCAAGCTTACAAAAACCCGGTCCAAATCGCGGTTTCAACAACACCGCAAAGTGAACAGTCTATGCGGAAACGGCATGCAAAGGGGAAAACACTCAAATCACCGAGAGAAACTCGAAAATGAGCCTCCTTTGATTTCGTAGAACTACCACTGTGAAGCACATCTGCGAGTGTTGAAAACCTCATAGAATCCTGATACAACCGTATGGTCCATCCGACCGCAGACTGTGCAATTTCACGCGGCAGACGGTATAGGGAAGGACAACATAGCAAACAGTGAGAGAAACGCACAAATGAACTCGTCACCGTCAGCGAATGAACAGTGAGTTACTCCACAACACACCATTGAAGACAAACTGCCGTAACATCGGTCCACCGGTGATCTTCCCTTGTAAGCGGTAAACCATAAGCAGATAAGGGCACGCTAGTGCCCTCAACAGCGAGGTAAACCGCCTTAACGACCCATTCCGGACCAGCCTCTGGCTACATTATCACATGCATGCGAAACTGGGAAAATATCCACAAACTGAAGCCCTCGTCACTCGCTTCAAACTCGTTAGGTTTGGGAGCAGTCTATAATGGTACAACGTTCCTTAACAAAATCGAGAGAACCAAACAAAATGTTCCTTCATCAAGCTAGCATTACGAGCACAGATGGCCCGTCAAAGTCGACGACACGCCAGTGTGCATAAGCTCGGTCCAACCACTTCTTGTCTAAAACCACAAACTGAGCACTTGCACACGTTACACATATTGCAAAGTCCTTGCTCAAGATGAGAGAGAGAAACGCATAAACGCCTCATTTGCTGTGCTTGGCGCGACTGTAATTATCCGCAGTCAAAATAACAGTAAAATTGGTCGATAACGATTATCGGCAGTTTCTGGGGTTCCAATGAACGCGGTTTTTTTTACACTCAGTGCCGATTCCCTCCCGCAGTTTTAAAGCTTAGCAGAAAGGAATCGCAAAATGAGCGAGGAAGAACCACCAAGTGAGGACATTCGGCACTCGACGAAGTCCACGTTTAGTCCGTGGGAAACTGTGGAAAATGTAACAAGCACACACCTCATCATAATAGTGTTTCAGTATCTACAATGTCTGTCGACTGTTCGATCTTTATTCAACGTGTCTTATCTTCTCAGCATTAGAATTTGGAACATTTGGAACAATTGGAACATGAAAATGCAACGCCTGGCACGTAGCACTTCAAGTACGCAATTATATCCGCACCTGGTCCAGTCAAACGCCGTTTTGTGTTTGCGTACAAACACCCACACAAGCGAACGACAGACAGTGTGCTGGAAACACCGGTATAGATGGCCAAACCTTGCAAATTCTCGCGATGACGTCACTTCGAGAACCCAGTCCTTTCACAGCAGTTCGCTCCGTCCATAACGTGGACAACGTACAGATTTTCAAATTGGATTTGTGATATACAATGTTGGCTGCATTTCCCCCTTGTTTCTTGCCTTTTGTAAATAAATCCCCAAATCATTTGCCTTGAGATAGCTTAAATTACGGGCGATTCACAACTGTGCTCCTCCAAGTTTGCAACGCGTTGACAGATTTCGCGCACTGTGACTGACCGACGCGTCCTCATGAAAAATACTTGGCCGTGTTTGTTTCACACGGATCTCAGTAATCCATCGTTGGTTTACGGACACCAGTCGCCCAAATGGTGACGGTTACGAGTCCGTAGAATGTGATCATGAACAGTGCGTTACATCGAAACACACACAAACAGACAAACTGCCGAAACCTCGGTCCAGCGGTGATCCACCCTTGGACCACTCATTCACAAATTCAAGCGGTAAACCACAGGGCGCGCTCTTTCCCTACACAGCGAGATAAACCGCCTGAACAACCCATTCCAGACTAGCCTCTGGATACGTCAATATCATGCGAGCGAAACGGGTAAAATATCCAAAAAATGCAGTCCATACCACCTCATCACTCGCCTCAAAGTTCTAGATCAAAACGATGGGCAGCTCAACACCTCTGTGCCAGTGAATGCCGATCCCGAGTGCTCAAACACGTCAAAACACAATGAGGACGCACCATCCACGGTTTTATGCAAGTGCAACTAGTCCCGCAGGGGAACACAGCCCAAACTATTAGAGTGGACGAGAGAACTGCTTAAGTGAGGTATATTCTAGACTTTGAGTTCCGCGCTTCAATCACAATCAGTTCGACGACACGCCAGTGGACATAAGCTTGGTCCAAGCACCGCTTTTGTCAAACTTCAAACTGAGCACTTTGCACACGTTAGCATATTGTAGAAGTCCCTGTTGGAACCGAGAGGGAGAGAATCACAAAAACGCTTTACACTGAAATGGCTGATAATGATAATCGGCAGTTTGTTTGTGCGGTTGCAATCAAAGCTGTCATTTGACATTCGGCGTCGCGACATCGACAAAATCCACGATTTGTCCGTGGGAAACCATGGAAATTTTAACAACCATGATACCTCATAACAGTGTTTCAGTTTCAGGAATTTTTCTGCGTCTTCTCGGCATGAGAATTGACAGTGGGAACACGGCGAACTTAAAAATGCAACGCCTGACACGTGGCAGAAAAGCCACTTTATCCAAGCACTGTTACATGTGCAGTTTGGACCGGTCGCACGCCGCTTAGATGTGAACGTTCAACACTCAAACATGCGAATGGCACTGAAGGGGCTGAAAACAGCGATATATCTGCGGTACAAACCTTGCACAGTCTAGCGATTGACGTCACTTCGAGAAGCCATTCCATTCACGGAAGCTTTCCCCGTCCACATCCAATGTGGGACTCGTGGATTCGATTTTTGATTGGATTTTTGATAGTTACATGTTTAAGCAATATGATGTTGGGATAACTTGGGAAGTAATTTTACTAAATTTCTTGTCATTTTAAAAATAAATCACCGAACAATTTTCCTTAAGATAGCTTAAGATGCATTTATGGCGCTATGTAGTAGGTTACATTTATTCCATCAGACACAAAAGGTCACATCACAAAATGACTTTAGTGTACATGTTTATTATCCAACTAATGATAACAGCTTCAGAAAGCTGAGTTTTTGAAATGTAAATTCAATCTATCAAATGCACACATCACAAAATGCACACATGAAGGTATGGAGACGAGAATACGTAAAAAGTTCGCACAAAAATTTACCTTTTTAAAAACGGCTGAATATACATTGAAATTATTCCAAAAATTCCCTGATGTTTTCAAATCCACTCGATGTTTGTCTACTCTTTATGTACATTCTTCACCGAATTCTTTCTAACAGCAGTACAAATCAATTTCAGAAAAAAATCGAAAAATCTGGTTTTTTCCTATTAAAAATTCTAATCTGTACTGTAAAAATATTTTACATATATTTACAAGAAGTGTACTATTACTGAGAGACCAAACTGTACTGTACTTCCCAGTCTAACATTTGGAGAACTTAAAAACAACTTTTGTACATTTTTTTCGATAAATGTAAGGACATGTATACAAATCAAGGTAAAACTTAAAAAATAAAAATTCTTGAGTCAACAACTCAAACCACATGTACATGTCATATAAATGAAGCACTGGTGAAAAAAACCCCACATCTCCACGAATACACACGCACAATACTTGAAGAAAAAATGTCAAAATACCTGTACTCTTTAGCTGGGGGTCATTCACTCAACATTTGACAAACATTTCACGTTGAGAAAAAGCTTAATTACTTCTCCTAAAAATGAGTACAAACTCAAATATGCCAAGGGTGCATCCAAACCAAACTTGTCACGGAGGGGGGGCCCCAAGAAATGGGGTATTTTCTTGAAGATTTTTTTGGGGGGCCTTTCGTTTTTGAGGGGATGGTGGCGCGTCAGCCCCGTTCCAGATCCGCCAATGACTCTAATAACCCTCATGATGGTACCGTAGATCTTTTCTCTTTAAATCCCTCTTTTGACAGAGCAGGAAGTCTAGGATTAAGTGACATCACTACAATGTTCCAACAAATTCAACTTCGACAATAATGATACTACATATCAAACTAAACATCAAATAAAATCATTCTGACTTGTTCCTGCGGTGCATTAAGTAGTCACTGAAAAAAGGTTACATTTCCACTCATTTCTGGAATATAGTTTTTCTTTGAGGAAACAAAAATTCTTGATATTTTTCCAGCCAAAATAAATGTGAAAGAAGAAGGAAAAAAAAAAACAGAAGCCAATCGGCCGATTCATAAGGCCTGAATTACACAGGGCATCCCGTGACCTCTGCATCCATTTCAGCATTGCTTTTCGAAACAAACTGGGCCCAACTACCATTTACATTTCACGAGAAAGCCAGGTAGATTTGTCTCCGCTCTGAAAAATACCTGAGTTCTGTACATGGAAAGAACAATGGAACTGTCATCCTGATTGATCTTGTGAGAAAATAAACATCACAAGACAAAAAGTTTTGCTTTTTAATATCTTATTTCAAAGTCCAGCACAGAGTGTAAGTTTGTGCAGCATATATAGTCTGTGTGGCTAGATGGTGTCTAACACACCCAGCTATGTTCAAGGGTGGGCGGGGAAACTGGAAAAACGGGGAGGGAGATAACTTTATCCAGCTGTATTTGAACATCTGGGGTTATGTTGTGTGGAAATTTTTGAGGGGGGGGGGGAAACTCAAAGGATGTGGTACATAAGCGTGACTGGGTAGTTGACAGTGCAGTAAATTTAATCCGCAAAAAAACCCTACAAACCATCAAATGCGAGCGAATTCAAGAGTCGAATACAAATAAATTTGGGAAAGTGGGTAGTTTCGCTCTCATAAAAAAATAAAATTTTGGATTCAATCCCACCTCTGACAAATTGAGACTTCACTTTCATATACCTTAGGGACTCTGGAGTAAGGTCTCTGGATATTTCTGTGAGCTTTTAGAAGCAGCTTTAAAAAATGGTTTCGGGAGATTCGGACCTCGGAACCTTGAAGTAAACTCTGAATCAGAAGAATTCTTAAAAACCTATATTTTTTTTTACTTCCCCCAGAAGTCGTCCCGCCTCTTGCGTGCCCTCTCCAGTACCTCGGAGGCAAGGGAGCAGCTGGAGGCAATGGACATGGTGGACAGCGATAACTCGTCGCTGTCCCGTTCAGAAGACCTCCACAGGGGACTGTCGGGCTCTGCCCTGCCCTGAGGCGGGTCCGCAGGGACCATCCAGGCCTCGCTCCGCTTCTTAGGGGCCTGGGTGGAGGGGTTGTCCCCTTGGTGGTCGTTGAGGCTTCTCATTGTGCCCTTGTTGTAGCTACTTGACTCGGCCTCCTCCCTTGTTTGAGGGTGTGCCGTCATTGGCCTGCCGTGCATGCTTCCAGAGTTAGGCCTATCCAGTGGACCTGTAAATACAGATGTGGATTAAGTTTCTTTTTGAGTCTGTCATTTCACACCAGGCAATAAATCAAGTAAACATTGGAATGCAGACATATTTAATGGGTTGAACTTTAACCAGTGAACAAATTCTAACAATGGCATATGTAACTCCACAATGAACGTATTTTGCCTTCCATATGCTGAATAAAAGATGAATGCTGGCATTATTGGAGATAATGGAGATACCTGAGGGTGCTGAAATCTTGAAATTTATTTCAAATACTCTTATGACAAGCCACACTAAAGTTACTCAAACTTTCAATAAAGGTGCCAAATTATGATATGACAGGATAAATTACCCCTGACTCCAGGAGCCTGTGTTGGCCCCTGCCTGTTTCCATTCAGCAGAGTCTGGGTACCCGACGCGACTGTCTTTCCTCCTTCCTCTCCGCTCCGTCCCTTGAGTCTCGAGCTCTGGCCCTGCGCCTCGCCTTGGTGCCGGGGGGCCGCGGCCCAGGTCCGCGGGGGCTCAATCTTCCTGGGCATGACGGGCAGGGCGGGGCTGGTCTCAAAGTAGTTGTTGGAGTGCCTCTGGAAGTGAGGCAGCTGGGCTAAGCTCTCCCGGATGGGGTCCGGGTCCCTGGTGGTTACGCCCGCTGTGGGCGACCCTGAAAGCTGGTTTAGTATCTGGGATTCAACAAAGTCAAGCCTTGGGTAATGTGGGGCACGAAAGGCTTACATATCTTTGCCTTGAGGTTCACGTCAGCATCTCAAATGTCTGAACTACCAGGCATTTAAGATGAATATTTAAAGGTCCTAACTTATCTGTGTAAAGTGTCGGTCACTGCCAGCAAATTCAAATACATGTGCATGTACTTGAGAGTAAAACTATCATGTAACTATTACCACTATTGCGTTCATCCAAAACTTTTCTTCTCAAAGCATTAATATTTTTTGTCCAAACACTTCCATGATCGTAGGGCCAAGGCCGTTCGAATATTCGACCTTCAATTTGATAGAGTATCCGAATATTCGGTCGTACCAACCAGCAGATTGTTGATGAACAAACCAAGCACAAAATCAGTTGCAATGACACACACAATGTACAGTATGATCAATACAGTAGCTTCTCACATCTAGGAATATCTCCAACCATGATTTAGCAAGATTTAAGAGATGAACAAGACTTCTGCCCTGTTGAAAACTTCTATTCATTTTAAATTGTTTAAAGAATAATTTACTTTTTAAATCATTGTAAGATTTCTGACACTTTTCATTTGCATCTACTTGAAACAAGCTTCCACAGTGCAATTTTTATGACTTCAAACATAAGAAAATTTTTCCTTCCTTTTCATAAATTTTGCATTCAATATTCAAATTTGAAAAATAATATTTGAATATTCGACAATCGATCAAATATATACATGACCGCTGAGATCGAGTCAGGGGACCAGCAAGTGAATCAAATCAAATTACTGCCCGGATAAACTTTTACACAAAGTGAAGTCAATTACAATAGTAACATGTAAATAAATTGGTCCTTAACGCCAAGTCTGCGTATACTTGAGAACTAGGTCAATAGGGTTACAGGGAAGGAAGACTATACCCAGCGACCAATGGAATCTGTCAAACTATAAGGTTGGTGCTTCCACTCATTCCTGAGGATAGTTTTCCAGGCTTTGCTAATATGAAGGAACTGAAACTGTGCTGCATAGTTTGGTAGGAATGCCAATTTTCAGCTGAATGTGTACAAAAATTGCATTTTTGTTCAAGAGAAACTGTATCATGTGTGCCTCTGCTCTGAGCTCAGTCCACAACGAGGCTTTGTCCGAATGTTGTGGCTGTGGCTAGAGATGACATGTCTGGCTATGGGGGCTTCTAGCTAGGGGCTGCAAGCCTCTTCCCATCGACTTGTAAGATACTCCAAGTCACAGCCAGTTGATTTGGACATGACCCATCTCCTGTTCTACCGCACACCTACCCTCGTTTTCATATCCGGTTTGGGTGGTGGCGTTGTCACCCTGGGTGTCACTGACTGTTCGTCTTCCGAGTCCTCGTCGCTATCGTAGGCAAAGCCTTGGGTTATCGCACCAGGAATGATGTTCCTCCGGTGACCTGCCGAGCAAGACATTGAACCAGATAAAAACGAGCTCCCGGTTTACTGGCAAATTTGTATTGCTTCAGCACTCACAGAAGGAACTTGGTGGCCACTTTAGTAAGTGTGACCCGATTACATTGACTCTCTTTGGAATTATTCACTTAGGTACTTAACATTTCCTCAATCAGAGTGGTGTGGCTTATCCGAGCTGGTGCTTGCCAATGCCAGAAGAAACCTTGACAAGTTCCCTGACCTAGCAATATGTTAGGAAAGGGGGTCCCCCTTGATGAAAACAAAATATGATGGATACCCGTCTATTTTGAGATGCTGAGCAAGGGTGTTTTCTACACGTTAAAAGTCAGCGTAATCAAAGTTGAGCGAAAGAGGCGATCAATAAGCACAAAAATATGGGAAAAAAAATTCAGGGGTTAAAATTCTTCCAAAACATAACACGCCTGAGAAATCTGGAAGGAAAAGGCGATATTGGACATGTCAGGTATTTGTCAATATGAAGGGCAGAATTTGAAAATTAATAAAAATAAGTTCAAAACTTCCAGACAATTTCTGACATTTTCGGAAACACTAGCAGCTATTGGACACAGATGTTCTCTCAACTACAATCTTTAAGTCTGGGAACCAGACTGGTAGATACCCCATACAATGAAGGAATGGCAAGTACCACACCATTACTTTTTTGCTGACCACACTCTGTTAGGGTCCTTCCTTTATCTTAAAAAATTCTCCACTGTCCAAGAAACCGACGACACATCCATTGTGCATCAAGGCGCATTGAGCCCCATTTCAGAAAAACAGTGGAATCCCCCTTTAATTCTACAAAGCCCTCCAAAACCGAATGATGGAATTTGAAGGATTTGGGAAGGTTAGAATGAAGCGTGAAACAGAACTGCGGAGCTAAGTTTCTTGCCATAAAGACAGAGTATAGAATCGTGAGGTGGATGACGTGTTGAACCTTTCAGAGTGGTGTATCAGGACAAAGTCACGCTCTGAAGCATCCCATCCAACCAAAGTTGAGATTAACGTGGAGGGGGGGGTCCTTGCCGACAGTGATGTTGAGTACTATTGATGTTGAGTATTTTTCATGTTACAGAAACTCATGCAAGTCTGATATTTTTGTCCTACCCTGCGATATCTGGACTGGAGCTGGTTGTGTGTTATTAGTGACAGGTGCTGTCCTTGGAGGTGACGCGGATCGATGTTTTGGCTGAGGGGAGGTCAGGACAGCACCTCCTGCATAAAGACGAACAACAAAATAGCCACATGATAGATGATAAATCACAACAAATAAGTCATCCAATCACTTCTGATATTTCTTTCAACCAAGACTGGGGTCTGAATAGGTCAGAACGTTACTAGTTTGACTACTCTCTAAATTTTTATGACTTTTGTATAAAAACTTCAGTCATCTCTGTTTAGGTATATATGGAAATAAAGACAGTACTCAAACAAATCTCTCAGAATTTTTGCAAAAGAAATCTTTCAAGGAAACTTTCAGATCTCTCTCCAAATTTCTCTCCAAATGAAATTTATTGCTTCTGGAATGCTTTTCTCAAGTTCATCCAGAAACTTTCAGGGGGGCCAAAGTTTACATCCAAAATCCAACAAATTCTGAGACCCATATTCAGAGAGCTGGTGCAGAGGATAGTGTTTACTCAGAAGACAACGAGTGTGTGTTACTCGGCAAACTCAGCCATAACTAGCCATTATGGCATTTGAATTTGTTGTTTGGACTTGCTTTCTGAATATTTTATCAGCAAGTAAAATTACTCCGCACTATTTTCCTCTTAAGGGGTATTTGCATGATGTCTGGAACTGTCATGCACTTACCTGTGGCTGGAGTGGTACGGTCCAGGTGGTGCCGTTTGGACAGCCCCTCTTCCCGCAGTCTCGGCGTGGGCAGCCTCCCCTGCTCGTCAATGGTCTCAACCTCGTCCGAGCTGGGTGTGGCTGACCCTCTGTAGCCCTCTGGCGTTGGGATACTGCCGATGCTGCGTGGACGCAGAAAAACTCGATGTTAGCAAATTGGTCAAGAAGTCGTAATTAATTGAGATTTCTAGTTTTGGAGGGAAATGTAAAGAGCCTAAAATTTGGTAATTGAGAGAAAAAAAAGTTGCTGAAAAGAAACCTCAGACACGGGCCTCCATCGGATGTCACACTGTCACCTTATACTTCTACCTTAAGTGTTCCAAGTACAGATCACTGGGCCTCCATCGGATGTCACCGAACGCAAGAGTAAATGAAGTTGGCTAATATCACATTCTCTAAGTACGTTCACACAGTAACATTCTTCTTTGTGTTACCTAGATTCGTGATCGCCATCGTCCAAAGGTTGCGGTGCACCATTTTTGACTTCATCGTTGTTGCTCTGTGGCCATGCAAGGCGTCTATTCACTGGCGGTGAATCTGCTGGCTTACTGACAGGTGCTGGCTTGCTGATTGGTGCTTCCTGGTTGTCTTTGTTTCTGCAAAAGGTCATTTGAATAGATTGTTAACCTCGTCTTTCACGACTGCAGTCTACAAACCCTTACAGTGTTTTGCAAGTCCACGTGCAGAGGGTACACTGAGAGTCTACCAGCAGTGAAGTCCTTTATACATGTCAAGATGAGACAGCGTATGTCCGACCCTGCCAGAATTGGGCAAAGTACGAAGACAAACAGCTGAAACTGAAACAGGAGAGAGTTTCATCAACTTTGAGATTTGGGGAGATATGTGATGATAACGTGTAGTGTTTAAAATGTTTTGTACAAGTTTTAAACTCAAATTTCAACATAAAATGCATTCTTCCACTAAACTCAAACTTTCATGGCATATTTCTAATTGATGTCATTTTCACCAGCCCCATTCGAGATGTTAATAACTTTACTTTTGGAATATCAAATTCCCCCAAACAGAGAAAGAGTTGAAACACATGTAGTAAGAGCAGCATTTATCACTCAACACTGACTCTTGCTCAAATATGCCTGATTTTGACCAACGGCATACGTCTGATCATTCGCCAATTGGCTACACATACGGAATGAAATCACAATGCTAACCTGTCCTTAAGTCCAGTGTCGACAGACGGCGCGGACAGTGAACTGACCGTGCTAGTGGCCGTGCTGCTCTCGTCCCACAGCCGGGCCTGGCTGGCCAGGATTTGCGCCAGGTGCTCCCGGGAGAAGTGGGTTCCCCGGGCCCTCTTGCGGTAGTCGTCTGCCTTCTGACGGAGCTCCAGGACCTGTGGTGCCAAAAACGAAAAACAATTCCCCATGAAGTGGAGCGGCACGGCTTCTTGCAACAAATTGTTCTTTTTTTTTCTTTAATTCTGATCGGCAACTGTCTCTAGGTTTCACGGTTTTCTTTAGCAGGAAAATATCAAGTATTCACTGAGCTGAAATTGACAACACCAAAAATTTCTTTGGGTCATTTAACTTCGAATTCCAGGGCATTTCAGCCATGAGCTGCTCAGTAAATAGTTGATAAAACATCAAACTGGGTAAATGTCTAGTGGCCAGACCATAGTAGAAATTACCGGGTAGCGAAACTGCACGCCGCACAAGCCACCGACAGAAATGTGGCCAGAAGCATAATACGTGATCCCTAAAGATTGGGCAATAACATGTTTGACCTTGCACGCAAAACCTTTCTGTGCTCAGCAAATGTGTAAGCTCGAAATCAAGGGTGCCTTGTGATTTGTGACCTGTCACGACAAAATGAGCATTAAGTTGCATCCAGCTCTTTCTGATTTTGAGGGTTCAAGCTTCAAAGTCATATTGAAGCGGAGGTCAATTTAGGTTTTTTTTTAATATTTGGAAAGAGTACTCCATCTCCTATGTAATTCCAAATATTTCGCAGGAAAATATACTTTAAAATGTCATTCTCACAGCAATTTTGATGACAGCTTTATTCGTGCCTGGTCAGAAATGTTGAAACGATGTTGGAAACAAAGACGCCAAGCGGCCAAATATGATGTCACATTGTCACCTTATACTTCTACCTTAAGTGTTCCAAGTACAGATCACTGGAAAGTTCCTTTTCTGCTGAGTTAAAAAACACCAATATCTCAAGTTTTGAAAATTTTGATCAGCTTTCAGCTGATTTTGTGGTGACAGGTCAAGTTTTGTATGAACTGTTACCCTAGTATCACTTCCTTACCTCTGCAAACCAGTTGGGTTGGGCATTTCTCCTGTCTACGGAGCTATCATCTTTGGGTGTGATGTGGGGAGGGTCTGCCCCTTTCCATATGCCATTCTCGTAGCGATATATGTCTGGTTCTTTGAAGTTGGACGCGTACTCCGATTTCCATTTTCTAGATGGAGATTTGAAAAGTAATATACATAGCTGGTAAAGCCTAATTCATTGGTGAAAAAAAAAGCATAAATGGGCACAGAAGATTGCCTGCCCAACTGCGCTAAGCTAGCATCGATATTGGGTAAGCAATGCAGGCTAAATGATAACCAACAGTGCTATTGTTAAACTTGAAGCATCTCATCGAGACCTTATCGCCTTTAGGGACCGTATGGCCTTTGGGGACCGTATGGCCTTTGGGGACCTTATGGCCTTTGGGGACCTTATGGCCTTTGGGGACCTTATGGCCTTTGGGGACCTTATGGCCTTTGGGGACCTTATGGCCTTTGGGGACCTTATCGCCTTTGGGGACCTTATGGCCTTTAAGGACCTAATGGCCTTTGGGGACCTTATCACCTTTGGGGACCTTATCGCCTTTACACATGCAATTACCATACATCCCAATGGTAATTGGTTGTACATGCTCAGTGCCGCCTACGCCAAGTGTCCACGAACCAGTGAGTACATGCTGTCTGCTCCTGCAAAAGGGATGTCGTTGCTACGTTAAAAAACATGCCATCTCTTGTTCAGGCCTGGTGAGGGTTTCTCAAAGCCCGCGTGTGGATCTTGGTCATTTCACTGCCTTGCTCTCACCTTATGGTGGTGGAATGTGGAAAGAACGGCTTAGCTGGGTTCTGGGCCGACTTCAGTAATTTCAGGTCGTCGTGTGCGTACATCGATGGCACCCCCGCTGGCCGCATCTTGTCTGGAGTCAGACTAGACCGCTTGGACTTCTTGCTCTGAGGAGACAAATGAGTGTGCATAAACCTATGGCATTTTGCACGATGCAAACACACCCAAGCTTGGCGGTTATGACTGAAAAGGCAATATGCCTTTTGCCAGTTAAATTTGAACAAAATCTGGTACACAGTAGACACTGTTGCTATACCTCGTGATTCCGGGCAAGCTTTGCATAGCAACCACCATCTCTGGCATGGACTGGTTCCTTTGTGCCCTTCTTATGCATTGAAAACAGTGTGTGTGTGTGCAAGGCGTCTCTTATGTAACTAAGCAAAACTTTGCCCCGAATGATGAGGTATAGCAACAGTGTCTTTAGTATGGAGAATTCAAATTGTTATGTTCACATGATTTTAAAGAACTCAGTGTACCCGATTTGATTCAAATTTAACCCACAAAAGGCTTTACAAATGTCCCCATGGATGCAATGTTACAAACAGCTTGTCCAACTCAAGCAGGAGCACCACCTCATTGGTCGACAAGAGCCATGTTGGTCAGGAGTATTCATTTTTGTTAGCAGCAATGTGACTGTAATGCTTACGTTTCCTAGTTGTTCATGAACCAGCAATGTGCAGTTAGTACCAAAGGAGCCTCCGTTGCCAAGGAAATAGCGCCCTCTCTTGGTCCAGCTCGGATCCCATTCCAGGTCAGGAACACACTGAGAACTCTACATTTCCAACAAAGCGCAGCTTCAAGACAACTCACCTTAGTCTTGACCCTGTACTTGGCTTTGATCTCCCTCTCGGCGTTCTCCATCAGCTGCTGGTGGGCAGTGGAGGACCGGCGCCGCACCGGCGACCAGTCTCGGAACTGCAGTTTGTACTCACTACGTCGAGGAATCTTGTCCGGGACGAAGGGGTTGATGTTGGCTTGAGACTTGTACACCATCTGAAGTCGATGAGAAAGACACAGGGTCTTTGTAATGCTGTCTGATGACTGCAACACTTTGAGATGGTTTCTCTTTGAGTCAACTTGAAGTTAGTGTCGTATAATTGAAAGTGCTGAGAATTAATACAAAATGTACAGGCTAGATCCCCCCACCAGCAAAAAATGGAATTTGCCAGTAAGAATTCCTTCTGAACATTGAGCTGTATGCTACCTGTTCTGCAGCCATGAGTGGGGATTCCTTCGGCAGAGCGTTCCTCCATTCGTAGTTTCGCTGGTATTCTGAGAGATACTTTGCTGACTTGGGTCGTGTGTCCTTGATGCCTGCTTGGTACTGCAGGGCAACGTTTGGCTGTTAAACGACCAAAAAAAAAAAAGTGGGAAGGGGAGGGAAGGAAATTAACAGGGCTAAAAAATCCCATCTCAAGAATAAACAAGATCCCGAAATGACCACCCTGTAAAGATGTGACGATGTCACAGTGAAATTGATGGCACTCGGTGTGCTTTGTGGAAAAGATGAGTGAATACCTCATGCGGCATCACTGTGTTAAGTTCGGATGCTTTCATATAAAGGCGCTACTATTGAGGTATTTTTCAGTCAATGAAAGTATTCAAATTTGACAGAGGACATAATCTTTGTCCAAAACAATGCCCATTTACATCTATTCCATTTTATACAGCAAAGAGAGGACACTTTCTGGTTGTTTTAACAGCAGACCCTGCAATTTACCTTAATTTCCAAAAAGCTACAAACAAAACAGAAGAAAATGACAACACCGGTCTGACTACAAGCTGATGTGCAAGAGATGGGCTTGGTTAGACTGCCACAAGACATATAACAGGCTTTCACACTAGACGAATCCCATGGGAATTTCCCGGGAAATTGCTGAGGAAGACATTCCTGGGGAAAAGCTTTCCCCTGGAAATTTCTTTGGTAGTGTGAACAGACCAACCAAAAATATTTACGCCTGTTTGGGAGTGAGGTTAAAGGAGAAAACCCAGAGGTTTAGCATTTTTCCCGGGGAAAAGCAACTAGTGTGAATGTCGGTGGGTTTGAACTTATCTTGAAAGGTCACAGGGTCACAAACAGCACGCCAAATAATTCGCGCGGTAACATAGTATTGTGATGCAGTACCTTTCAAACTCGCAATGTCAACTTGGCATTGCACAACGTAAACAGCAACAGCTTGTGCATGCGGGCGCGCGGCAATTTGGGATTGGACTTCCGCCCACAATTCATTTGGGAACTTCCGGATGGGCGCCCTCCGTTGACACGTTTCCCAGGGTTTGATTGTCAGTGTGAAACGACCCTGCACATTCCTGGGAAATAGTATCGCTGGGAGTTACCAAAATGGGTCTAGTGTGAACGGTTGCTGGGCATTTGGTGGGGTAAAAAATCCCTGGGATTTTCCCGGAAATTGGCTCTGCAGTGTGAAAGGCCTTATGAGAAAAAAGGAAAAAAGGATGCACTTGTACAATTTACATTGAAGACACTCGGCAAAAACAGATCAAAACATGAACACAATACTATACCTTTGTTGTGTGTTTATGTGCAGGCTTGGAGGTGTGTACTGCATTCTCTCTGGTGTCTCTTTTCCCCGGCGAACTGACATCCTTGTTATTGTTGACGTTGGTCTCTGCACTGTCTGCGGGTCCCTTGATGGCAGAAGTCGCGTGACTATTCGCAGACTTCAGACTAGCTGCAGTGTACGTCTTGTTCTTAATTGGTTCTTTGTTCTTACTTGGCTTTGTCTGTGGGGCTCTGTAGAAAACAACAAAGTTATGGTAGCAACCATGAACGACGCTCTACGCCCGCGCAAATATTCCAGTGTGAACTCAGAAACCTCATAGGATCCAGGAAGATTTGAAGCAAATATGTGCAGAGCGTTAGGGAAAAAGAAGGCAGAAAATATGTTAACCATAACCCTCCACGGTACTTTGGCCACAACCCCTGCCAGACACGTCAGTCTGCATCATTTGTCAAAGTGGCTTGCCTGCCCAGTGTGACATGATCCCAACAGGTCAACTCTCCCCAAGGCCAAACAGCTTGGGAGTCTGTGGTTGTGATTTACCGCAAGATCCATCAGTGGCATTGTTCAATGGGACTAACTCCCGTTGTTTCAACATGACCAGTTTGTTGGGCTGCTGTTGATTGCCCAGGGCAGTAAAATGCACCAGACTTTGACACCTGTTGCACTATGCTGCATCTGGCAGGGTTTAGGGTTAATGAATGAGAACAGACTAAAGTCCGGCAGGATGCAGCTGTAGCCACCTGTCAAGAGACAGAAGCTAACACACAGAACAAGCAAGACAGCTACTCGTGGTAAACCGAAAAACTGTTTCTGAATTCCCCCTGGAACCCGCAAAATGAATCTTCAGGCCATTTTTTTGTATATTTGGTTTTAAAGAGTATCTCGCAATTCGCAACGGTTCACTATAGAATGAGCGACTGTTTTACTGGGAACAAGGCATTCCCGTTTGAGCACTGCCTCAGAACACAATATGCACAGAGCAGACTGTTCCCACATGGCAGGAATGTTCCGATAGAATGTCCAACAGATGGAAAGCATTCTGGGATTAAGATGCCCTCTTCTTTTACATGAGAAAGAGCTCTTGGGTTTGACGCATCACTCAGTATGGCATCCAGGTGAAAATACCTGGGTGAAAACTGTTGAGGGTCCCCATTGATTTACTTCGTACAAGGTGCTTTTAACGAGCCTTTCGCTGAAAAATGGCTCTGGCCACCTGTGAGTGACTTTGTTAGGTTGGGTCAAAGTTTGTATTTACAAAGCAGCCTCAGCCTGGTTACTCACTTGGGTGATCTGCTACTTCCCTCCCTGCTCCCTCCGATTTTGTATGTCTTCAGGGGTGTCATGGGTATGATCCCCGTGCCCTTGCCTCCCCCGATGACGAGCCCCTTCCTCTTGCCGATTTCGTCGTCTGACCCGGTGACATCGCCATAGAACTGCTGGGTCGTGTAGGTCACCTTCTGGTTGGGCGGGAGAGGATAGCGCTTGTGCTGTAATGGGGGCTCCTGCTGGCCTGATGATATGGGTATCGACACAGAGGAGAAAGTTACAGTTTGGTTCCATCCAGGATTCAATTTCACAGTGCTGTTAAACTTACAATTTGATGCTGAGACAGGCTCTGTGCATTTCAAGGAGACGGTGAACAGAAACCTGGGAGAAACATTTGCTCAACATAGTCACAAAACAATGGAAAGCTCTATGCCCACGCAACCGTAAGCACGACCAGGCCAAGCACCGCCGTGAAATAGTGCTTAAGGCTGGCAAATTTTTCTGCTACAGTAAGCATGACTTTTAATTTTCGGCTGTTAAGCAGCTCTGTGGCCCAGGGCTGCAGTGGAGTCTGTCACAGGTACAGTTGCTGGCCCTTTCACAGGCTGAGTCACGAGCCAAGTCACTGGTAAGTACATGCAGCTGGATGAGCACTGACAAGGGAACACATCTGCCACAGTCTCAAGCCAAGTCACGAAGTACTGTAAGCTTGCGACTTGGTTTGAAGGTACAGTCCATCATTTGTCATTTGCACATTATGTTCCTTTCAGGCAACAGAATTTCTCAAAATCTAAAGATGGGTTCCTACATGAAAGAATAAACCTGATGAAGTTTCAACTCACTGAACACTGCATATTCTAAGAAAAACAATATCGCACTTACCAAAATCAGCTGACGATAGACCAGCAGTTGGTGACTTCTGCTCGGGAGAGGGTTTGAAGGACGACGATTTCACAGATTCATGCCAGCGGAACTTCTTCTTGTACTCACTCAATGCCTACAAAGTGAAAAGAAAAAGTAAATGAGAGAGTGGACTTTGTGCTACATGAGAGCAACCCTCTGTGGTTACGACAAAAGGCTACTCAATCTTGTCAATTCTACTTGGCAAAACCAGGCTACTGGCCGAATTGCCATGCAGTGAACGAGGCTAGTGACTGGTTTTCTGCAGTTTACAGTAAACATATTGCCAACTTATGACAGCACCGGTGCCAACCACGGTTGGGACTATCTCAACTACAGTGCTGCTACGTGCAGTCAAAAGAGGGTAAGCAGGGAAACAGCATAACTACTTTTTTCTTCATATCACCACGGCTGGCAACAGTGACTCTCGTTGGCAGAATCTGGACCTATCTGCGTCACAGATGAAATGGCAAATTTGCATATAAAGCTAAAGGGGTGAGAGCCACAAAAACTACAGAAGGTTGCACTATTTGTTTGTTATTTCAGGTACAGGTATACAGACTGTAGTTAGGCCAGCCCGAAGAGGGCCCTGTAGGTCAGACCAGTCTACTCTTGGTACCAATGCTCTAGTTGACCCCTGGAATATGGTACTATTGCTTGGAATCCACGCAGTGCGAACCACATATCATCTCTTGAGAAGGTTCAAAGGAGATTTGTCTGCAGGGACAACCAGTACTGAAGAAAAAGTAGTGTGGCTGACATGTTGAAAATATGGGACACAGGCTCCAAATGAGGCGTGATAGCTAACAGATCACTTTCCTGTTTGAAATCGTCCATGATCCAGCACATTATCACAACGAGCCCCGGGCTGGACCAAGAGAGGGCACAATTTTCCTAGCAATGCACACTCCATTGGTAGGAACTGCTCTTGGCTGGTTCACAAACGACTATGAAATGTACGTGGTACGGTTGCATCACTACCAACAAAATCGGCACTCCTGACCAACATGGCTCTTTTCAGCCAATGATGGGGTGCTTCTACTCGAGGGGGGATAGATTCTTGTCACATCCTGAAGACAGAAACTAAGAAGTCGGGGGGGGGAGGAACAATGATGGAGAACGCACATCTCAACACCAATATTGGAACACTTGTTTCGTTGTCCGAGAACAATCAATGTATGGAACATTCTTTATCAGATCGTCACCTCATCCTCGCGAGCACTTTTTAGTAACATCTATTGAAACATGCATGTGTACAATGTGATAAAATCAAATTAGCTTCCACTCCCTTGAAGGCCACCTTGTCAATCTCCCCAAGGGTGAAATTTGGAAGGAATTCTTCAAATTACCAAGTAATAACCTAATGCTAGAACCAATGGGTGTCAGTCACTTCACCTTCATTTCCACTTCAGCCCTTGCCACTTCGCCTCGAACCAACTACAGCCGAGGAATAACACATTGACATACCTAAGTTGACCTAAACAGTGCCATTTCAGAATTCACTAGGGGGGGGGGTGATTTGGATTCAAAAGATCCCTAACAGTCCCAAATCCTCGGATTTCAGTATGATTTTACATACACCCTAGGGGGTTAGAGTACCCCCAGAACTGAGAGGTCTGATGTCTGCCCTGCTCCCACAAACATTTGTGGGATTCTACAAGATTTAAAAGCTTGTTTTGAGCACGCTCTGTTGCAATGCACCATGTATTACCCCAAGAACTGTGGGGTTTGCCATCTGCCACGCTCTGTGGGATGACAAATTCCACAGTTCTGGGGGTATGACACTATTCCCTGGGCTACCAAAGCTGTAAATCTACACTTAGATGCAGGATAGGCCTATGCCATTTTTTTCACCCGATTTGTGGCTTTGATTAAGGGGGAAACAAGTTTGAAATTACACTCGGTTTGATTTCCATGATGCTGGTCGTAGAAGATTTAATCATAATTACCATCACTCACCTTTAATAATTCAGGTTTATAATTGAAAGGGTCAGTGCATTTCTTTTATAAAACATTTGCCATCATCATGTTCATTGTTTTCTAGAACACTGAAGGCACTGTTTGGTGTTGCTGTAATGTCAGTCTGGGATAAAAGTGTTCAGTTGGGATTTATGTTCAAATTGTGAAGCCAAGAATGACATCAAAGTATTGACCCTGGGTATGCTGAATTAATTCAGTTCAAGCTAAAAAAAAAAACCAAACACGCCAAAAACCCCAGAAAATACTAAGTGGGGGGGGGGAGCCTAGGCCTACATGAAGCATGGAGGTAGGAAAGGTAGGCTAACTTTAAATAGCCGTTAAAATCGCAAAACAAAACATGAAAATACGGTTAAATGAAACAAAGGAGCATTTTTAAAGTTTGCATTTAAAGCTTGCACTGCGTGGTCCCTTTGCCTTTGCTGTGGTACTAATATACAAACATGGTGTAGCAAACACGACGCACTACTAGTACGGAACACACTGAACACAGAAAATATCCTCACAGACACACCGCGTACCGCTTGCACACACCTGCCTCTTAAAAAGTCCTAGTCCTACCTTGTTTTTTACCGGCATTTTGTCTCTTTCGGCAAATAATTTTGATTCAGACGAAAAAAATTAAAATGCTCCTTCAAAACTCATAGCGAGAAAATAATCTTGAGCTACCAGGCTTGATATTTCAGCAAACTTTTCATCATTTTCACTTGACAAGAGCTTCTTGCTTGTTGATATTGTGCGAGGTGTTCATTCAATAATCAAGCGATCGCATCGAAGCGTTCCTTGGCTGGTACCAGTTACTTCTTTGTACGAGCAAATGCGTTTATACAGCCAGTCGTCAGGATCGGGGGGTAACCAGTTCCCTTTAGCCGTTAGGTTTTGTTTGGCTGTTGAACGGATATGACTTAAGTTGAATATAAGTAAACTTGTACAAGTTTTCATGAATTGTCTTTTACTCACAACAAAATACAAGTAACTTTATTATGAAGTATATTGGCAGCATTTTACGATTTTGTTCGTTTTTATCTTGGCTTCTATCTCGTCATTTTCTTAATCAGCAGATTACATCATAAAGGAGTGGTGGACGGGCAAGCATTTATCGATTTATGATCTCATCTTGAATCAGTTTTAGCTCCTATTTTACTTTAGTTCTGTTCTTTTATCCTTTTGTGACTTTTTAGTGTTTTTATCATAAATGATAACAACTTCATGTAACTGTTGGTAAAATTTTTATGTACTTCACTAAAATCAACATCCATTTTGTTGTGTAATTTATATCCAATTATGAGGGGCCTTGGGACTGTTTCACATCGCAAGCGCTTTTTATGAAGGTATTATTATAATTATTATTTAACAACATGATCAAAGCCTCCTCCATGGTTGATGAGAACAGCCCCGTGTACCACCCTACCCATTTTTTGGCTTATTGAAGTAGTCTCAGCATCGTGGATAACAAATAAATTCTTGTCGTTTTTCTTCGAAATTCTGACCAAGTTCAAGGGGATATCCATTGCATTTAGGAGACAGGGGCTAGCTGCTCACATGCTTTTGTGTAACATGGCGGCCTATAGAACTCGAACTCCGAGTCAGACGGTTTCTTTGGCCAACAACTGAATACTAAAGAATAGCCTGGGTCGCACGTACCAGCGTAACACCCCTCCCCCCATAAATATACATGGTTCTGATTGCACCAATCATCTCACCAAACCCCTTTGTACAAGTTTAGTAATATTATATGTCTTAAACCTATCCGAACTTGTATTTGGAAAGTGCAGCCTCCCAGTATGGAGTGCAAAGTGTTAAAAGTAACACGTTAATAAAACACGTCCATGAACGCTACTTGGACATCTATTCACACAAAAGCAGCGACACACAGTACATGTATATCAAAATTCAGTTTGCGTTCCCGGCATTCATGGTAAGCCACTCTTTGTAATATAACATGGGGTGAGCTTACAAAATAGGCAAAGAACGCAGTTACAGGATGTCTCTTATCGAAGAAAGAAACGAAATTTCAATCTGCATCACAGTACGGAATTCATTTTTTGTACCTAGGTTATTAAGTTGATTGTGTATGCCCAGGTTTAATCGCATCTTCAGCCTCCTGTGAACAGAACTTGAAATCCATTGGCGTAAATCTATGCCAGGGACAAGGGAGGGTGGATGGGTGATGACTGAAATAAAAAAAATATACCTGGACATAGATTTAAAAAAGCGCCAGGGTGGGGCTTGACACCACACGAAACTAGGAGGCATTGTTTATGCAGGGGCAGATCCCGTGGAAGGTCAGGCCGGGGATTTTTTTAAAGTCTAATTTTTATTGACAAGCACAATGAGGATGAAACATTATGCATGCCATACATTGTTTACAATGGTGTTTGTGCGCTTATCTTAGCTATTTCTATTATTTTGCCCATTCCCCTTTTTGGGGCTGGGTCTCAGAGCGGGGGGGGGGAGTTCGATCCCCTAACCCCCTGGATTTGCGCCTGTCGTGATATAGATATGCAGATGTGCATGTACATCTCACACCCAGCCTTACAACCAAATGGCTTATTTTGAAAACCTTTAGTACATTTTTCTATCTTTCTCAATACTGTTGAACACATTTTGTTTCTTGAGAAGTACGAAAGCACCTCACAATCTTGCCTTTTTTTCACCACGAAAAAGTACAGTTGACTTATTCTACAAACCATAAACAGTCCAAGGTCTGTCGATTCCAGTAAAACTCGTTTGCGGAACTGGAAATCTTGCAGTCACTTTTGTATCCCAAACATATACATTTGAAAATGTACAGAACTCATATTTTTCCTTGGATAGCTGATAATTTCCGATAGCAGAACGGATTTTGGCTTGCAAAAATCACGCCGATGATCGTTTCAAAGAGCGACAAACGCAACATCATCACGCAGAAACACACACGTGCAAAATTGTTCTTCTGCAAGATCTATAATTAACTATTTGAGAGAAGTGTGAATCGAGTCCCCAGCTATTCAGTCTTTCTGAAAATGAAACCCATTTTTTTCTGAATTGCGGAACTAGACAATCAATTGTACATCTTAATGTCCCAGTTATGAAAAAAATGTGGGAATAATGTATCAATGGTCCTCCGTAGCTCCATAACAATCTGGTGGCCAGTTGTTTATCAAAATACAGCAAGCTACCTTACGTCTGGTTTCCGACTCGTTCCAACGTACTAGACATCGTTGGACTGTGTTCTGACGTGTATTCGTGAATGCTTCCTTATAAATACATGAAACATGGCGTCAATTTTAGTACTCGGAATTGTTGGGGTTTTGATTGCTATTGTGGTCACTCTGTTTTGCCTGCTTGTCTTTTCGGGTCTGTTCCATGCCATTGAGATAGGGACGAAGAAGTCCCCTGTGTCCAAACTCCATATTGCGTACAAATTTGCCCGTGGAAGCTACAGCGAGGGCGGACCGCTGTGGACTGAGGTGTCGAAAGAAGCACCGAATCTTCGATGTATCGGCGTGTATTACGACGATCCAAACACGGTAAACAGTTTTTGGAAGGAGGAACATCATGTGTCAGTTTTAAGCTTGCATTTGCAGCAGTGAATTTACTTCCTCCTGCAAACTGTTTTATGCTTATATCATTGCCAAATTACTAACATTAGTAGCAAGCTACTGAGCTAAAAATAATGATGACCAGATGACTAAAGCTAAACAAAACAATGGACAATGCCAGAAATACAGAGGGCGCTTGTCGTGTTGCAGGCCAAGCCCTACATGTACTTTGTGTGAGTGTGTTTTGTAACCACTTTTAATACCAAAACCTGTATCATCATGAATTGCATGACTTGATCATATTTCAAAAAGGAAAGAGTTCCATATACAGACAACACTAATTTTCCTTTCAGGTGTTCATTACCTTTAGCATCCATTTCCTATAATTAGGGCCGAGGAAACAAAGTCCACTTTCGTAAACATTTTGACCTTGAGGAACCATTAGTTGCTCAATCCTGATAGGCCTAGTTTAGTTAAATTTTGATAGTACGTAAACAAAAAACCCTCAGATTTCTTACCCGAGTTGGCACAAGACAACTGTTCTGTTGAATCACGCCATTTTGTATCTTGTCTGGGTACCCAACTCAGGCATTTTGGCTTCAACAAAATGAATCTCCATCCAGTTTCAAGGACATAAAGGTCATGAAAGTAATGATATCAAAATCATCTTAATTGGCCTTCCTCATATTACATGTACATGTATTTAAATCATCCATCAGCCAACTTACTACTGTAGGTGCTGGCATAAATGAAACCGCAAAATACAAAATTTTTTACAGGCAAATCCCAAACTTTGCTTGCTGTCGGACAAGCAAAATCGCTCATTGCAAAACTTAGAACTTTTGACATCATCTGGTCACACATAAGGCCGAACAGCAAATAAGTAAATACTTTGTGGTGTACAACCTACGTTGCAGCTTGAATTTATTTGACAATGTGACCCTGAAGTTTTTTTAGGGGGGGGTTGATTTCGGGAAAGTGTGAAATTGGAAATGAAGAAAATGTGTCTATTTGAGTTTGGTGCAATAAAATTCAAAGGACTTACGTGTACTTATGCATGCAACTTGTACGCTTTAAAGTGTTAGTCATTTCATTAAAAACAAATGCCACCTGATGTCTCTTGTTGCTGTTATTTGTAACCAGTTAACGCTTAGCTGTAGTGAAATACCAGTCTGGCTGTGCCGATAGTTTATACTCTTGTTTCCCTACTCAAAAAGTCCCAATATCTGTGGTTCTGGAGGATTTTTAAAAGGGACATAAAAGTCCAAAATTACTTTTGGTCTGAAATCCATCTCAGGAATAGGAATTTACAATGTCAGTGATGTAAGCATGGAGCCACCTGCAAAAAAAATGAAGTCCCCAAACACTGCACGTGTTCGGTCGCTGTGCAGGTAAAAACTCAGTAGCAAATCAGTACCAGTTCACAGTCCAATATCTACTCCCTACATTTTCCACATTTGTGCTTAATTTCCTCACAGTGCAGTGCGGATATTCCTTCCCCGTTACTTTCCCTGCCCAGTTCCCCCCCCCAAAGTGATTCGTGACTAACAGGATGAATTGGATCCTCTTTTTTTTCTTGTCAGGTCCGCACCGCAAACCTGCGCTACATTGTCGGCATGATACTGAGCGAGGGCGATGACGAGCCCGACAAGGAGCTGGAGGAACGACTGGTCGCCAAGGGGTTCAAGACGGCCGACTTTCCCGAGGTGTCCACCATGGTCCAAACCACATTCCCCTTCACCACCACCCTGTCCATCTACATTGCCATCTTCAGGGTGTATCCTGCCCTGCACAACTACGTGAAGGTGAGGACTGTTATATAGACTAAACCTGAGGAGACGACTCTGGTGGAACCACACTGACGTACGCATTCTTAAACATGATGGTTGTGAGCATTTGACAAATCACAGCACCCGACTGGTCGGAGAGACATGAGATATGTGCATATGACCTGGTTGTGAACATGGTGTCGGGGAAAAGTTTGTAATTCTTTTGAAAAATTACTGTGGAAAACATGAGAGAGGTGTGATTGCTTTGTTTTATCAGTTCGTACTGACATGGGTGTTGTCTATAAATGTAATTTTAACTGTTAACCCTCCTATGCTGAAGTCACTCTTTGGGTCATTTGGTGAACACCTC